GACGGGGGCGCCTACTCCCCTGAGCCGGGCACCAGCGGCGGGCTCCGCTCGCTCCCCGGGGCGCTGGCGCCCTTGGGAGTGAGGGGCTGGGTGTCTGCCCGGAGGCAGCGTTAGGGGACGCGCTGAGCTGCAGCCAGGATCCCATCTTGGTGCTCGAAGCCGCTGGGCTCCGCCCCAGCCCCCCCGGTCCGGCCAACCGGGAGCGGGCGCCTGCCCGAGACCGCTGAGGCGGTGCAGGAGCCCCGTTAGCACGTGGGAGCCGGGGGCACCCTGGTGTCCCAGAGCGGCTTCGGGGAAGCGCGGGGCCGGCTGCTCTGTAAATGCTCGGAGCTGTCCGTGGTGCTGATGCCGCTGACCAAAGGCGACCAGCACCAGCCACCGTCTCCCGAGCAGCCCCTGGCGGGCTAGTAACAGGGGCAAGTAGGTTAGGGCAGGTTCCCCTCTGCCCACAGCCAGCCCCACACTTCTCCCGCCCCCTGGCCCCAGTGGCGGGGCAGGGGGCGTGTCCAGGAAGAGCAGGCATCGCGACGCACCTCCGCGAGGACAGGGCAGGGCAGGCCAGCCGGGGCTGCCGTGCGCCAATGCAACGAGGCGGCTGGAGTCAGTCACGCGGTGCTGCCTGGGGCATCTCCACGGAAGCACAAAGCAGCTCGCTGGTATCGGTTCACCAGCAACATTCAATAAAGGCGTGGGGGGGTTTCAGGGAGGGCACCTGGAAACCACTCTTTGTAATGACAACACTAACCACAGGATATCGAGCCTGCAACGCTCTGCCTTCCACCTGTTCGTCAGCACTGCTAGCAGGTGTTCCCTTTCTCCCAGAGGCCTTTCTCAGGTGTGGCCTTTGTTACTACGCTTCAGCATAGAGATTTATCACCGGAGGGCCACATTCTGCCTTTCCCTTTGAGGGTGTAATTCTGGAGTAATTCCATCTGATCACAGTCGAATCAGCCCAGTTTCTCATCAATGTAAATAAAGGCAAAATACGGCCTTGCTAGGTTTTTCTTGATTGTTGGTTTGTTTCCTAGCTTGTTATTTTTGCAACGTGGGATACCAGATACGGGAAATGATACCATTCAGCTATACAAGCAGTCTTTTTAAGGATTGAAAGCACGTTTGGAGAGCATTTTTATATAGCAAATGATTTATTTGAATGGAGAATTCCAAACCTAATGCTTCTCAATCACCACTGTAATTGTTTTTATGTATTACCCATTTACAGACACAAATGTTCCACTCTACTATTCTGTTTCCTATTTCTGAATATAATCATACAGGGCTCATTCCTATCCTCTGGGGGAGAAGTATGACATTTTTGTGGTTTTATGACCAGTACAACAGCAATGTAATTTATATGGCATTTTTCCTTGCTTTTAATATAGTTCACATTGGCAGATAATGCTGCCAACTGAATTTCTCACTCTGTCACTTTCTCTCCAACTGGTTCAAAAGGACATATACTGCCCCAGATGTACATGCAAAGTTCCCATTTGCATTAGTAGAATTTGTATGCACAGAACAAAAGCTGCATATTCATGTACATAACACCTAAAACCAGCTCCTCGTCCAGTTTTTTAACAGGAAAGGCTAAACTGTTTCTGCCATTTACATGAAGAAACACCAAAAAAAAAAAAATCTTACCAGCAGTAGAAAATGACTATCTTTAATAATTCTTAATTACATTGTCCAACCCCACCCCCTCAATGACCTTTCCCATTTGCGGAGTCATAATATCTAATTGTAAATCATATTCACTGATAAACAATACTTGTCAATTTTGAAAAGAGGGCAAGCATATGAGTCTTGTCCAGTCTACCTCATCAGTCTAATATTAGCAGTTGGGATACTAGAGATTCATTTGCAGATGATTGTTTTGTCTCATTTTCATTGAATACAGTCAATAGTTCTATTTTTGCAGCATCTGATCAAGACAGGGATCAGAATTAAAGTATATTGACTGGTGCTCACTTCCTGTAGAAAAGAGTAGATGAAGATCCTAGCAGGACAGTGAGAGGTAGTTAACTGCATGATCTAGAGAAGGAATCTGTTCATCTTTCATAACAAAAATTATTCATACTCTCATAGTCTCATTGATCTACCTGGAAACCTTAATATTAGCAATGACATATAATTCTCTTATTTTCACAACAGGAGTAAATATATCAGCCTCTATGAATCCTTCTTGCTTGTTAAATTGTCAAAGACCTTTTATATACAATTCTGGCTGTGGCATTCTAGCTCAATGCCAAGAGAGATTATAAATGAAAAGGCTATAATTACTTAACTAACTTAACTAAATTTTATTAATTTGGTCTCATAGATTGAAAAATAAAGGTAGTCTCGCATGGCGGGCAAGTAAAATGCAAGCTGGTATAATTTTCTCTGGAATGCTCTACTGAGCATTAAAGGTTATTACTCTAGAGTATGCCAACAAATATTGTTCTTGCTGATTTGATACATTAGTAAAGCTAGGGATCTGAGACAAGTTTTTGAAGTCACAAGTCATCATGACTTGGGAGCACTGCTTAAGCAGTGTGGACAGATTATGGAAAGAAAATTATACAAGTAAAACAAATACATTTCAGGAGCTCATCTAGTTTGTTCCTGCCAGTGGATTGCTCCCTGTTTTGTTCTCAATTACTCAAGACCTGGAACTTACACTACTTTGAGGAACTTTTCAACCATCTCCTTTATCTCACCATAGATTTTCATTCCCTCATTTTAAGATAAAATGTTTCTTTGCTCATTCTAGTCCCTAGCTCCCACTCTGACCTGTTTTTATTCCTTTGGATGCTCTCATTCTTTAAATGATTATTGTACTTTCCTAGGTGTTTGGCCAATGAGTGCCTCAAGTTACGTGATCCACTCTGGCAATTAAGAGGAGCAATGATGGCTTCCAGATGGTGTGTAGCTCTCTAGTCACTCATACACCAAGCACAATCATGGTTATCTGTAAGACATCCAAACAGAATGATGATAATAGAGGAAGATATGAAGAATTCCTTTCTATTAATTTCTTTTCCATAGCATGGTTTTAATACAACATACATGCAGTGTCTTGCTCCATAAGTTTTCTGGTTTCTCTATAGGTAGAAAGAAATGTAATCAAGGATATACATGTTTAGTCCTACACCTGTAGCCTTTGTAAGATGAGGGAGTGGCATTTTGGAAATGCAGTCTACTTATGCATAAAAAGCAGAATAGAACATGATTTATCTGACTCCCACGCACAACTAACCAGCATACCTTAGGGTTTGAATAGTGATTATTGAATACATGAAGCCAATCCATCATAAAAAAACCCATTAAAACCTTTGCAAACATTGAATAAACTAGGAAACAATACAAGGAAATTCTGCTCTGCTAGCAGAAAATCCAGGAGCAGAAAAAGGCTAAACTTACTGACTAAATTATTTGTTGTAGATCACCTAATCCATCTATATAAAATTCTTTTTCTACTAAGTTGTTACAGATTCTTATACTGACCTCATTACCATAGGCACCTTCCAATAGTTCATTAAGTGCATGTCTACACTACAGTGTTATTTCAAGATATCTTATTTCGAAATAGTTAATTTGAAATAAGTTATTTCGAAATAATGTGTCTACACACACAATTATTTTGTGTGGCTGCTGCTGGAGGCTCTCGGAGGCTTGTGCTTAAAGGGACCCTCCTGGACAGCCGGTTCTCAGCTTTCCCTGCTTGCTTGCCTACCTCACTGAGGGAAAGCAAAGCATTTTTGTCTCTGTCTGCTTTGGTTGCCCTGACTCGGGACATCACAGCACTCGGCGCCATGGAGCCGGAGCTGCCCCTGGGCACTCTGGTGCTTCTTTTGGACATGTTGCTGCAAGCTTGGCTGCGCTTTCTGCAGGCTGTCTTGCAGCATCTGCTGCAGACCAACCCCCATGCTGTCCTCTGGACCCTCCTGTGGGATGGGGAGCAGCAGCTGGAGCTCCTGGACACCAGCGTGCCCTGCCGCATCTGGCATCTGGACACCAGCACCGAATAGTGGGACCACATCACCCTGGAGCGCTGGGGAGACCAACAATGAATCCAGAACTTCAGGATGAAGGACACCTTCCTTGAGCTCTGCGAGTGGCTTTCCCCCGCTCTGCAGTGATGGGACACACACATGAGGCCCTCCATTCCCCTCCATAAGCATGTGGCCATCGCCCTCTGGAAGCTCTCTACACCAAATAGCTACCAATCCGTGGCAAAACAGTTCAGCATGGGGAGATCCACCATCAGAGTGGTGCTCATGCAGGTATGGCAATCTCTGGTCACTGTGAC